ACTCAATTCCATTTTTGCAAAGTCAACGAGAGAATTTGCTTGTTATGCTGTTGCCCACCAAGCGTTCGACGAAATGTTTAAGAGAAATATTTTAGGTGTGTTGGATTGGGGAGGGGCTGCGCGGTGACGCAAGCCCCCACTGCCATAAATTATGACGTAGGCTCTGCCGCAATGGCAGACCTTAGACGCGTACCCTTCCGAAGTGCAATGGAAGTCACAAGTCTAGGCCATGGCTCTTCCTGATCGGCCATCGACCCCGTCCAGGTATGTACCTTTTCAAGTCGCTCCTCCCTTCTGTTTTATACTGCCCTCTGTCCTTCCTGCTTGTGTGATTCTCCGATGTGGGATTAAAAAACCCACACAATCGCCCCAAATCTCTTGCTCTTTTCTAATTGGGGTTTTTTCTTTTTCCACGCCACCCTTGTCTTTATTATTTTTCTTTGTCCGATTAAATTGTCGATTTAGTCCTAATAATTACTGCAAGATGTGACGTGACCATGACTATGAAGTATATATTTATTATCTTCTTTCTTTTTTGAGATAAAAAAAGAAAAAAAAAAGAAAACGATTCCAATGTGTGTATATATATACAAATAAGATAATAAAGTAATATAAGAGCATTTTGCAAATTTCGTTTCCTGCCAACTGACCGAGCTTATAAGACCGATTCCAATGTGGCAGCAAAAAAAATGCAATTTTTCTTTTTCACAAACGCGTTCATCTAAATAAGTTCAAAATAGCACCTGTGTGTTGCCAAATTTTGTTTAGAAAATATATTTTAAAAGAAATTTAAAAATGTTACAGGTTCACAGTCTGCTACATATACCATTCGTTTGAGAACACGTATCCGAGTCCCTATTGGGAAATTAAGCACTCCAAACAATTTTCCTCCACAATTTATCTAGTTTTCTAAACCAATCAGACAACAACAAAGAGAAATATAGGAAAAGTAATAAATGACACAAAAATTTATACCAATGGTCTGCTTAGATGCATGTCTCGATATTGGATATAAGCACTCAAAATATATCTTCCTTCAAATCTTCACTCTAAAGGTCTCAAGAAAGCCCCATTGAAAACACTCATAGAATAATCGAGAACAAATCACCCAAAACGTCAATCTCGATATGCTATTTCTGTGTTCTGCCAACCCAAGCCACTGCCTCTGATTTGCCACACAAATCCCCTAGAAAAGCTACCGATAACAACCCATGACTGCCTCTTTGTTTCCATGGCTCAAACCTAACATGATTCCCTTTTATAAATGGCGTAGCGTCTCAACGCTACGACCATTTCAACTTCAACACGCGTGCCATTTTTTTTTTTTTGAAATTTTGTTGCAGTGTAGCGGCGCTGTGCTCACGGCCAGAAGACCCTGTAGCAAACAATCTTTCATTTTTCATTCCTTCGTCGTCTCGACATGTCCCTAGCACGTTCCAATGTCGATTTGGCTCCACCAATCCCAACAGCGCCAACTCGATCATGTTATGGACAAAGTGAGATTGATAAAATCACCTATTGTTGGCTTGAAAGAAAGTCTAGGTCAACCCAACCAAGAAAAATGGATTATCTAAGTGGGAATTTCAATGACCTCGTCTCGGGAAGCTAGATGACAGCAGGGGAAAAATTGCTAACACCAGATTCAGGCATCAGAGTGGCAAGACTGTAACCCAACTAACCTCAACTTGACACTAGTTCAACTGAGTTGAGCTTGGAGTCAAGTACAAACATTTTGTTTGTAGGTCACTAGCACATCTGAATCAACCTCATCATTGGGCCAGGCCAGGCCGAACCAGCCCAAAGAAGTAATGGCCCAAGTTTGGCCTAGCCCAAGTCCTACGGGCCTCAAGTATTATTTGGGCCGGGCTTGGACTGACCCAACTACTCAAACCTAGGCTCATAGTCCAATCCATGGGCCTAAGTTGATGAGTCAAAATTGCATCGGGCTTGAATCGGTCCGTATATTAATATAGTTTTAATTATTAAATTTTAAATTTTAAATAATTTCCAAAATAAGTTTTTCTTTTTTAATTCTAGAATATGTATCTTTATATAATTTTTGATACATTTTTTTGTTTTTTTTTTAACTTGAAATAGAAATAATTTGAGATGAATAGAAGTTAAATACAAGAAAAATTGAAAACTTAAACACTTTGAATTGGAACTTGAGAGAATTTGAGATTGAGAATTAGAAAGAAATTGAGATTGAGAATTATAATTTGAGTGAAGAAAAAGGGGAGAATGTTGATATTTATAAGAAAATTTTGTATTAAAAAATTTTAAAAATTATAACCTAAATATTAGATAGGTTTAAGATATTTTTAAATTTTGAATTTTAAAATATCATGAATTTGAAACCTTTCGAACCTATTGTACTTTTTAAAACAAAGATTTAAATAAGATATTAAAAAACTAGAGAGTTTCCTTGTAAGATGTTTCAAAACATGTTTGTATTTAATAAGGTGGAAACGAAGTTGTTGCATTCAGCCTAGCCTACCATACTATGTGTTATTTATTTTTATAATAAATAAATTAAAAATAATATATTAATATTATATAATATAAATATTAATAAATATTTGATCGAATCTTTGGATCAGTCCAATGGACCGATCCAAATATGGTTCAAACGAGCCGGCCTAATCTGAAAAACAAAGATCCATATCCAATTCAATTTATGGATAGGTTGGGCGGACCGGATCGGTCAAACGTTGACATTGGATCGGGCCTGGACCGAGCTCATCTGGTCTCAAACAAAAAAAATACTTTAATTTACTCCCCACTTAATATCGAGTCAATTAGCTCAAATGAAATTGACGTCATTTTGTATTCTATAATATTAATAAAAAATTGTTTCACATTGACATAAACTGAAGTGGTGGAAGTTAAAAAAAAAAAAAAAAACTGAAGCGGTGAGAAGCAAAAATGCAATAGTGACTTGAAACTAATGTAAAAGTTTGTAAGAAAAATCATCCCAAAGTCGAAAAAATAAATAATTGTCACTTTGTACTATTTTATTCTTTTATTTTTTTCAAATTTCTCAAATTAAAATGCAACTTTTGACCATTTGAGAAGTATCCAGAGTGCACCAAGTACTAAGGTGAATGAGCACTTGAAAGGTTCATGTTGCACCCGTTCTAATCCCTGTGGTGCACTCCTTTTCCTTGAAAAAAAAAAAAATTATTGGAACAATAAAAACATGATTGAAATCTAAGCCAATAGTTGGACAAGGTTTCACACAAATTAGCCTAAATTCAATTTAACCTTTTACAAATAATGTTTATGACTATATACAATAGAACCCAGATAAATTCTTTGAAGAATTTACAGTTCCATGGTAGAAAAATTGATTCAACGGAATGAAAAACACTATCATGAATAGTTCCAAGACTTCCTCCACCAAATTAATACCAGAAAATTTTCCTCGTATGTCCTCTTCCATAATGGAAAATTGATTCAGTCTTCATCTTCAGAAACAAATTAAAAGCTGTCAGTATCAATATCTATGACAAGAAACCCATCAAAGTTATTTCAATTGCAATAGTCTGCTATAAAAAATAAACCCACTAGTCCAAAAATTTTGAGAATCAACAAAAACCCATCAATTTAGAAAGATAATATAATACAAACAATCAAATCTCTTCATTTAAAGGTTGTTTAGTTTCGTCAGGAGAGTGGAGAAACCTAAGAACTTGTGTTTGTCACATATCTCTGTATTAATATCATAGGTCTGCTCGCCCTGGATATCTGGGGAACGGGATAACATCTCTAATGTTGTCGATTCCAGTGGCAAAAAGAAGCATCCGCTCGAAGCCGAGACCAAAACCACTATGCTTGACTGTCCCATATCGTCTCAGATCGAGATACCATTCATATGGTTCGAGTGGCAGATCCATCTCCTTGATCCTGCAGGTAATTGGAATTCAGACCTTATAGTTCACAAAGTGAAGAGAACCGGAAAACTATGTATCTTTCTTCTACCTGTCGCGAATAACCTCGTAACGCTCCTCCCTTTGGCTTCCACCAACCAACTCCCCAACCTTTCGATACAAGGCAAAATTTCAGTTTTTCGGCCAAAAGCGCAACAAATCACGGTTAATGAAGGATTATATCGAAACAAGATAAACTACCTTTGGTACAAGAACATCCATTGCAGCTACAGTCTTTGAATCATCATTGAGCCTCATATAGAATGCTTTGATTCCTTTCGGATAATTGTAGACAATGACAGGCTTTTTAAATTCTACCTCAGTCAAGTATCTGAAAAAAAAAAAGGAACATGCTGAGATTATTAGCCACTTCTATTCGAGTCGAATGAAAATAAAAAGCATGGTAATTTACAAACCTTTCATGCTCAGAAGCTAAATCAATCCCCCACTCCACTTTGTTCTCAAACACTTTACCCTTCTTCACCGCTTCCTCGAGTATTTCAACAGCTTCAGTATAGGAAATTCGAACGAAAGGGGTTGAAGAGACCATTTTGAGACGATCAATACATGTTCGGTCATACTTGTCAGCCATAAATTTCATGTCATCCAGGCAGTTGTCAAGTAACCACTGACACAGAAATCTCACATATGCTTCCGCACAATTCATATCGTCCTTCAACCATTATAGAAAAAGATGTCACCTATGGTTATATTCAATTAAAATTCTGGAAAAATAGCATACAAATCACCAAAAGAAAACTAAACCTATTGAAAAGTTCCATTCAGAGATCTGGTACCGATGAGGCAAATTTAAAGATATAACTTAGGATACAATTTCATTATAGTAACGAACCTGCAAATCTGCAAATGCAATCTCAGGCTCAACCATCCAGAATTCTGCCAGATGCCTTGAGGTGTGAGAGTTTTCGGCACGGAAGGTTGGTCCAAAGGTGTACACACTGCTAAGCGCGCAGGCATAAGTTTCAACTTGCAGCTGGCCAGAAACAGTCAAAAATGCTTGCCGAGCAAAGAAATCTCGTCCATAGTCGACTTTTCCATCTTTCTCCGGAATGCCCGGTTTAAGCTTCGATCTCTCCTCTAACCTTGCAACGTTCTCCTTTGCTTTCTTAAGTTCCAAAACAGAAGCACCAATTTCCTCCTTACTGGCCTTCGCTGCCTTCAACTTAGCAACATCTTCTCCTTTCTCCTTAACAATTTTCCTTGCTGCTTCTACATCTGCTTCTGACGGTGGTGGATTTTTAATCAACTCCTTTTCTAACTTTTCAGCCTCGCTCAACAGAGTGGTAACTTGAAACATTTCGCCCGCACCCTCACAATCGCTCGTGGTGACAATCGGCGTGTGAATATAAAGGAACCCATGCTTGTTAAAGAATGTGTGAGTGGCATAAGCAAGTGCATTTCGAATTCTAGCAACCGCAGATATCTGTAATTGTAAAAACAAAATACAAACTCATCAAGAAAAAAACTTTGTTTCGTAAATTGTTCCTTTCTATCAACATCAAGGAGAACAGTGGAATAATATAACAGGGAATCATATACACCTTTCAAATGCTAAGATACATAACAATATAAGAAATGAAATGCAGAAACGTGAAGGTGAACAGAATCATACTGAAGAAATGAAGAAATTTGGAAAATTCAATAATAGTCCCGACATGGTGTGGATTCTCGACACAGAAAATCATGGCATTAAATGCGAAAACCAATCAAAAAGATTTGATCCAGTTACTAAAATTTAATTCGACAGACGAATTTGATTTATTTACCGTGTTGGTTCTTGGGCGGAGATGGACGACATCTCTCAGAAACTCGAGAGTGAGCTTCGTCTTGGGCAAAGGATACCGCGCAGGATCAACCGGACCTACATGGACCACAGCCTCGGCACGAAGCTCAACTTTCTGTTGCTTACCCGGCGGAGGAAGCTTGAAAACTCCGTCGACAACAACGCAGGTTCCAGTGGGGACAATCTGTCCAAGATCCGCCACAGCCGCTTCGATGATCACTTGGAGATTCTGCGGGCAAGAGCCGTCGTTCAACTCCAGAAAGGCAAAAGCGTCCTTGTCGGCCTTCCTTCCCGTTTTAACCCAGCCGCCGACCCGAACCTTCTGGCCGGCGAGTCCTGCGCCGCCGTCTGGCCGAGAAACGATTGAGCGGATCGGAACGCGGTCGGAGAATTCGGCTTTGAGAGCCTTGTAAGTCGGAGCATCGTCGTTCAAAGTGGCGGCGGCCAGTTGATCGGCGGGTGGCGCGGAGTTCTCTGCCATTGGTCCCTCCGGTGTATCTTCTCGTCCCCCTGCAGTTGAATTCTAAACCCTAATCTTGGTTTGGTATTTAAACTAAAGTGTGCCCACACGGTTAAATCGGTTCGATTTTCCTCTATTTTATTCGGTTCGGGTTGGTTCTTCAATGTTATTATATTTGGAAAAAGAAAAACAGTTTTTACCACTAAATTTTATCTGTTGTGAAATTGAGAAACGAAACATGGCACTTGAAGCAATAGCATGAGAGAAAATGTGTGATTTTCTTGGTTTTTTCTTAGGCTTTGATAAGGTAAAAAGAACTTGGTCATCAAGCATCAACTTGGTACCTGGCCGTCAAGCATCAATTTGGTTCAAAGACTAAATGGCATTGGTCAACAAGTAGTTTGAACAATAAATAAAGTAAATTCTTCCTTTAGGTATCCGTTATTTATATGATATATGCAAGAAAAAAATCCAATAAGAAGAAATCTTAATGACCTTTTATATAATCTAATAAACTAAAAAATACAATGTATTTGCTCCCCATGGAAACATCACTTGAGATCTTCGAGTCGCTGCATTCCAATGTTGTGCACCAATTTTTCAAATGTTGCAATAGGTAATGTTTTTGTAAATAAGTCTGCCAAATTATCTTTCGAACAAATTTGTTATGTGGTGATGTCGTCATTTTTTTCCAAATTATGAGTGTAGAAAAGTTTTGGTGAAATATGTTTTGTTTTATCCCATTTAGTATCCTCATTTTATTTGAGTTATATATGGTGTGTTATATTCGAATAATATTATTGGAAGATTTTAGAAGACAAGCCACACGTTCCATACGGCTTGGCAGACCTTCCCTTTCCTCCGGAGCTTCATGGGCGTTGCCCCGTTCCCCAATCAAATGTTTGGATGTGAGCTATACTCCGCAAGGAGCCAAACGGGCTTATGGCCATGCCATTTGACCTATCTTCCCGTGTGACAAGCAATTGAATTGAGAAGGTTTTTTGTAGTTGACCGAGAAAGGTTGGGAGGCTGATTCCACCGATGAAAGAAGTCAGGCTACATAAGACTCTCTAGGGATGGATAGAAGATGCTATAGGAAATTTCCCTCGTCGAGTAATGGGAAGCGGGTTAGGCCCCAAAAATGCTCGTTCCTTTGTCGTTGGGGCCCAAAATCTTCCTTGTTGAGACTTGATTTCCACAAATATGCTGATTCATTAATATTAGTCATACACATTCTCGACTAGCCTACTGAATTGCTAGAATTTCAGCATGATTTGAGGAGGTCACTGTTATGGTTTGTTTCACTAACCGCTATGATATAGTAGTGTAGGATCAATATGGCAGCACTAGAAAGGAGTGAATAGGGTTGCGTACCAAAAGATAAAATTAAAAATAACAAAAATAATAAATAAAATTTAGGACAAATTGCACAAACCACCCTTAAAGTATCATGATTATTGCAATTACACCCCAAACTTTTAATTGTGAAAATTAAACCATTGAACTTTTACAAGTGAAAAAATTGCACCCTTAATGTACATAATTACACCCCAAAACTTTCCATCGTAAAAATTAAACCCACAAATAATTATATTGAAAAAATTCACCCCTAAACTTTTAATTTTAAAAGATGAAACTCTTAAAATTTCATAAAATGAAAAAATTAAATTTATTTTGTTCTCCCTCTCCTATCTTTCTACTTTCCTTCTCCTCTTTGTTCTCCCTCTCTCTCTCTACTTTCTCTATTGTTTTGCAAAGTCGTGTTGGGCGACACCAATGAAGAAAAAGACGTGGAAGCTACTACCGTCGCCATCGCAACTGAGCTCAAAACGGAACTTCGAAAACCTAATCCGAAAAGGAGAAGAAAGGGGAAGAATGGGATGAAGAGCACAAAGCAAAGGGATGAAGTGTTAGTGCCTCCAACACTGAAGAAATTATCGATGTCTAGATGCAGAACAACTATGACGAGGGAGAAAATCCCGACGAGTTCGATACCGCAATGGAGACCAACATATTTCAATCAAAATACAAAACAACTTTAGGGGTGAGTTTGTGCTATTAAAAGAGTAGGGAGAAAGAAATGACACAAGAAATTTTTATAGTTGTTCAAAAATTTCTACTTCACCCCCAAGACTTATTCTTAGATATTTTACTGTGTCAGCTGTCTTACGAGTGAGAACTAAACCGATTGACTCTCGTTTTGTCCTAGGCTAAAGAGAAACTTACGATCTTTTTTACTAGTTCAGGATCCAACCAACACGATCTTTTTCACTAGTTTAGGATCAAACCACTACGATCCTTGTCGTTAGTTCAAGATCAAACCACTACGGTCCTTTTCGCTAGTTCAAGATCAAATCACTACAATCATTTTTACTGGTTCAGGATCAAACCACTACGATCTTTTTCACTGGTTCAGGATCAAATCACTCTCACAATCCCAAGGTACACCCATACCTTAATACAAAATCCAAAATGAAGTAAAATAAACAATACAAATAAAATACCTCATAAAAGTGAATTATACAATATCGCTCAAATACATAGACTAAGCTCCTACTCTAATGTATCTCTCACAATTACAAAAATAAGAAAATTTTAATATATGAGAGAATCATAATTTAGAGATTTGGAGAGCAAAACTTGAATATGAGAAAAATATTTACTTTGATAATTAGTATGCGGAGGAAGGTGAATTCGGTGGCTTTAAATAGAATTTTGAAGATAAATTTGGACAATTGGATTTGAGGCAACAAGGATGAACGGGTGAAAAGGTAAAAGAAAAAAGAAGATTTATGGAGATCGGAAGAATATGTGGAGATTGAAAAATAATTGATGATGATAGTGGTTGTAGGGATGGAGAGATTGAAAGCGTCACATGTCGTATTCTCATTTATTCAATTATTGGATACTACGTCAGCATAAATATGTCATCTTGGTGCCACACGTCCACTTCTAAGTGGTCCACTTGTCCGTGTCACTCGCCGCGTAGGATTTTTCTCCTAACTTGTTTTTACCATAACTTCTTCGTTTGAACTTCGATTTGAGTGATTCGAAAGGTCTAAGAATCTTCATTCCGTGCTCTACACTATGGAAATTTTGAACTACCAAAGTTATTAGTGAATAAAGTTTGTTATCTCAAAACACATGATATGATTGAAGCTCGTAAAGCTAACAATCTCTCTCTTTTTTAATGATGACATACCACTTAAGAAAAATATTCTCATAAGTGACATGGGTATAATAATATTGAAAAAATTCAATCAACAAACATTTCAATCAATATCAATCATTAATATTAAGCACTTTGCTTTGTATTTTTCTCAACAAAATCTTCCCCGTTTGTTGTCATCAAAAGATAACAATTCTATGCATAAGCTCCTCTTCAAAGTAGTATTCAAACAATAGATAATCATAAGTCAATGTAAGCTTCTCTAATACATGAAGTCAATTAATTTTGAGTAAAAGATAAGATCAAGAGATATAATGCTTTCATTAACTCATTAAAACATATATAATCAATAAATATATTAAATGCATCAAAATATATAATTTCACTAAAGTAGTAATTTCAATATCATAATTCTTACAAAGAAGATGTAATATAAAAGTTATATAACAATACTCCCAAACGTAGAAACCACCCTATGTTCTATTTTGTTCTGCTTCCCAAACGTAGAAACCTTCCCGTCTTACATAAGGCAAAGGGTAATGGTAACTTGTGTGAGTCAAATGAAATTAGAGAAAAACAAAATCTAACTCATTTATTTAAAACTTTACCTTATCAATAATTAAATAATAACAATAATAAAATAAGCTTTAGTTTTTATATTTTTTTACCCAAAATAACAAATAAACTAGGTTAAAAAACACATTTTGTCCCTGTACTTTCACTAAAGTAAGAGTTTAGTCCCTGAACTTCAGTTTGTAATGATTTAGTCCCTGTAATTTTCCCAAAGTAACAATTTAGTCCATAAACTTTAACTTGCAACGATTTAGTCTATGTAGTTTAAAATTTGTAACAATTTAGTCTCTATCGTAAAAAATTTTATTAAAATTAAATGTCAAATTTTATCATATAACAATTTAATCTTTCTAATTCATAAATTTATTTGGTCCATATTTAGTTTATCAATCTATACAAACAAGAAACTTAACAAAAAAAAAATTCACGATAAGGACTAAATCGTTACCAACTTCAAATTAGAAGGACTAAATTGTTACATATTAAAGTTTAAGGACTAAATTGTTACTAATTTAAAAGTACAGAAACTAAATTGTTACAAACTAAAGTTCAGGGACTAAATTGTAAGTTTAGCAAAAGTACAGGGAATAAAAGTGTTTTTTAACCAATAAAATAAAATAAATGACTAACTAAAATAAAGTAAAAGATAAATAAAAATGAGAATCGGACCAAATACGGTATCTACATACATCATATATCATAAAATATATATACAAGTATATATTTCTAAATCAAAATATATGAGGTATATATTCTAAGTACATATACTTCTTTCTTACCTACATAGTGAAATTTTTACGGGAATAAAATAGACTAAATTGACTAAATTATTACAATGATTATAGACTCTCGCAAGTTAAGAAAACAATTAACACAAAAAAATGAAGTAACACAAGGAGTTTTTTTTATTTAATTTATGTGTGAATGAACACTATAAGTTCTCACCTTTAAATAGAGGGGTGAGAGAACTAATTTTAGGAAGTAAAACTAATGGGAGATTTTGTATTACATTAGTTATACAAATATTAACCATATAACTTGACTTTGAGAAGATTATGGAGTTGGTTGTTGGTCTACTGACTTGCACTTCGTAACATCCCCCACAAACAAGAAGGTGGGAAAAACAGCCTGAGTTTGGAATGCAGATATGCAAACTGAGAGTGGGCAAGAGATTTGGTGAGACAGTCGACAACCTGATCGGCAGAGGGAATATACCGAACATCAAGGTGGGTATTAAGGACCTGGTCATGGTAGACATAATGAACGTCGATCTCAATGTGTTTGGTGTGCGCATGGTACACTGGGTTACAGGCTAAGGCACCAGCTTCGA